CTTGAAAATCTCTCGTTCTTATTCTGAAAGAGACTACTGTTTGGCACCTAATGCTCGGGGAAGGATATGTACACGAAGAAGTAGCTTGGCTCCCAAGGAAGTGAGAAGTGTTGCTCTCACGGACGAACGGTGCGCTGGTTGCTTAGCAGGACTTCAAAAGCACTCAGTCTCAGTATGATCCGCACACTAGTTGATTTGGTGGGTTCGGAGTAGCCACTGTCGTGGGTTTGCGAGCAGCAGCACAACTGAAGCAACTCAAGCATGGATTTAACACCTTGTCACCAAATGCATTGCGGTAAACTCGTTCATACGTTCGTCGTCTTAACCGCAGCGTGCTCTAAAGCGAAGATCAACGGCTGAACAAGAGGCCCTATTCGCGCTTTCTCTACGAATTTCTCTTCTCTTTCCGCGAGCTACTTTTATTTTCAAGTGGATGTAGCATTGTGTCCGTGGAGTTCTTCTCTGAGTGAAAACGGACTCACAATTAAGGAACTGTTACTGGACAAATGTGGTGCCAATAGAGCCCTTACAATTGACACAATCCATAGCCCGATTGCGAACAATAAAACAAGGGTCCAGGCAGTTAAGAAGGAAAGACCATCTCAGAGAATAGAGTCATTTTGTAGGCGTATACAGGAGGGGGGGGGGGCAAAAAAGACATTTGCCCATGTCGAACTTCAGCCCCTTTTTTTCGCAGAGATTGCCGTCGTTGATGGGAGTTTTTCAGCAAAATATTCCCCAAATGTTCCTCTATAAGTGAACTCGGGCCCTCCTTCACTGTCCTCACCGTCTGTTATCGTCGTCAAGCACAAGCAGAGCTACCGTAACTGCCTCAGTCTGAAGCTCTTACGTAATTTCGCGAATCAATTCAATGTTGAGTAGTTTCTAGAGACATTATCTCCCAATATACAAGCTTCCTCGAAACTAGTTTTCCAGTAAAAGTCGTTATGGTACACGATCCCTAAAATACCCCATTGAGCTCGTGCACCATGTTTCCATGACAATTTTTCTGATAACTTCCACATGGGTGGCCACTACGAAGATTCTCTCATAAAAAAAGGAAATCTTCTCCTTACTAATTTACTAAGTCTGCTGGAACAATTTGGTTCGAATTGAGCAGAGTGTAATTACCATCTGAATGTGAAGACAAAATGCCTTTTTTTATTGCCCCCCTGTATTCATAGAACCACTTTTAGAGGTCACTATGATTTTTCTTTTCCACGTGCAAATAGCACAACTGACAACGGTAAATTTTTGTTGAACATTTACAGGTGAAGAACTGGCGAGGGGAGCGCAGAGATGGATGGGTAAAGTTTCGCGTGTTTATTTTTTTACTGCGTGACTTTTTTGAAGAGTGTGCGCTGAATTTTTCTGTCGTTTGACGTCATTTGCACGGCACGGAGATTTCTTTGATGTGATGTGTTCAATTACAGCCATCGCATTATATATTGACCATTTCAGGAGCAATGTTAGTTGTTAGAGTGCTTCGTGTTCTGAAAATGGCTCGAGTGTCTCAAGTGCGCTATCGGGATTATAAGCAGTGTAGTCTGCATGGTAGGAAGATCATCTGGTTTTATGTTCAGCGCTATAACGAAGTTATAGCCATGAATTAAGCCATCCCTACTATATATAATGCGCTATGTCTGTCTGTCCGTCTGTCACGAAATTCGGTATCAAGCGAACAACAACCTACAGGGTCCAGGTCAAGTTTGGGATGGGTATACCATATCCCTAGAAGTAAAAAACACACATCAGCCAAGCGGAGCCCCGCCCACAGTGGGCGTGGCGTGCATCGGTTGATTTCAAATTCAGTCACAAAACAGCCTCGAGACCGGGACAAAAGTGGGCATAGGTGTGGGTTGGTAAGCCAGATCGAACTGAGGAGACCCACCCTCGGTGGGCGGGGCGTTCTCTAGAAAATGGGTGCTCAGTGAAAATATTCATAACTCGGTTAAGAGGAAGCCTACAGACCAGAAACGAAATTAGTGCAGGGGAGCAATGCCTAAGGTATTTCCACCACGCATGATGTGAACGGAGGCCCGCCCACAATGGGCGGAGCGTGTCGTGAAGCGGACAGCATTTTCTACAAGAGCTCATAAATCGGCTCCGAGATGACTTAGAGACCGGAAAACAACGGATAGAGGTCAGGAGGGGAGGGGAAGCTAAATGTCAGGGAAGGGCGTGGCTTACATCAAAGTGGGCGGAGTTTGCAATTAGGCTTATAACTCGGTTCCTAGGAGTCCCGGAGTCCGGGAAAAAAGCGTATGAGGGTTGGCAGAGGGAAAGGGGTCAACCGTTGTTGGCGGGCGGAGCATGCACCAAAGTGGGCGGGGTTTGCCACGGTACTTCATAACTCGGTTCCAATAAGTTCCGGAGATGGGAAAAAGTAGAATGAGGTTGGGGAAGAGATGATAGTCATTTGGTATCGGTGAGCGAGGCATGTAACGAAGTGGGCGGGGTTTACCACAACGATACGTTGCTCGATTTCGTCCCCTACAAGACCTCATAATTCGGCTCCGAGATGACTTAGAGACCTGAAAAAAATACGCCAGAGGTGAAAGTAGGAGTAGAGGTTGAATGTGAACGCTGGGCGTGGCACACCCGGATGTGGGCGGAGTTTGCCACCGCTCTCATAACTCGGTTCCTAGAAGTTCCGGCGACCGGGGAAAATGTGCATAAGTATTGAGGTATGGAGTAGGGTTGAATGCCATTGTTGGGCTAACCATGCACCAAAGTGGGCGGGGTCTGCCTCAGAAATTCGTGACTCATAACGCCATTTACAAGACCTCATAATTCGGCTCCGAGATGACTTAGAGACCTGAAAAAAATACGCCAGAGGTGAAAGTAGGAGTAGAGGTTGAATGTGAACGCTGGGCGTGGCACACCCGGATGTGGGCGGAGTTTGCCACCGCTCTCATAACTCGGTTCCTAGAAGTTCCGGCGACCGGGGAAAATGTGCATAAGTATTGAGGTATGGAGTAGGGTTGAATGCCATTGTTGGGCTAACCATGCACCAAAGTGGGCGGGGTCTGCCTCAGAAATTCGTGACTCATAACGCCATTTACAAGACCTCATAATTCGGCTCCGAGATGACTTAGAGACCTGAAAAAAATACGCCAGAGGTGAAAGTAGGAGTAGAGGTTGAATGTGAACGCTGGGCGTGGCACACCCGGATGTGGGCGGAGTTTGCCACCGCTCTCATAACTCGGTTCCTAGAAGTTCCGGCGACCGGGGAAAATGTGCATAAGTATTGAGGTATGGAGTAGGGTTGAATGCCATTGTTGGGCTAACCATGCACCAAAGTGGGCGGGGTCTGCCTCAGAAATTCGTGACTCATAACGCCATTTACAAGACCTCATAATTCGGCTCCGAGATGACTTAGAGACCTGAAAAAAATACGCCAGAGGTGAAAGTAGGAGTAGAGGTTGAATGTGAACGCTGGGCGTGGCACACCCGGATGTGGGCGGAGTTTGCCACCGCTCTCATAACTCGGTTCCTAGAAGTTCCGGCGACCGGGGAAAATGTGCATAAGTATTGAGGTATGGAGTAGGGTTGAATGCCATTGTTGGGCTAACCATGCACCAAAGTGGGCGGGGTCTGCCTCAGAAATTCGTGACTCATAACGCCATTTACAAGACCTCATAATTCGGCTCCGAGATGACTTAGAGACCTGAAAAAAATACGCCAGAGGTGAAAGTAGGAGTAGAGGTTGAATGTGAACGCTGGGCGTGGCACACCCGGATGTGGGCGGAGTTTGCCACCGCTCTCATAACTCGGTTCCTAGAAGTTCCGGCGACCGGGGAAAATGTGCATAAGTATTGAGGTATGGAGTAGGGTTGAATGCCATTGTTGGGCTAACCATGCACCAAAGTGGGCGGGGTCTGCCTCAGAAATTCGTGACTCATAACGCCATTTACAAGACCTCATAATTCGGCTCCGAGATGACTTAGAGACCTGAAAAAAATACGCCAGAGGTGAAAGTAGGAGTAGAGGTTGAATGTGAACGCTGGGCGTGGCACACCCGGATGTGGGCGGAGTTTGCGGCGTAAGTAAGATGTACCGAGCAGAAAGCTAAAATCAAGACAAAAATACTGATGGGCCCGATTTTACCGCTGCAGCCCCGTCTCATGCACGCGAATGCGTGCGCAGCCAAACTGGTACTTTTATCGGAAGCATAGTAGCCGGTCACATTCTTGGAAAGGAGCATTTTTTATTAAATCACCCCGAAAGCCATTAAAATAATAGTTAGTTTACTAAGCTTCCCGGCCACTAATTTCCCTATTACAGTCCACGAAAGCTGGTATACAGTACAGTACTCGCTAGTTAAGTTATAGTAAAGCTTATGGTTAGCTTACACTGAGATGGGCAACACTTCTATTCAGCTCACGTTTCGGCATTGTCGCCCTCGCTAAAGCCCGCAATGACGAAAGCCATCTGAGAAACTATCCATTCAAACACTAGCTCACCTACACAAGTCATTGATCGGGTTGTAAATTAAGAAGCCAGTGTCATGGAAAAGAGAAAGCCGACCTTTTGAGCAACAATCTTAGATCAAATTGGTGGGGTTACTGCGTTCAGTTATGAAAAGATGGATGCCGAAGTGACAGAAAATAAAAAATGAACCGGAGGAAACCACCGATCAAGCCACTAACAAGTATCTGCGCCTTGAAATGAAGGGGAGGCGGGGCCGGATGAGTTCTATACTTGGTTGCTCCACGGCTAAACTAATCCGCGCTAATTGGGTTATCCACTACAACTGTCTCCCTATCTCTTTCGCCGATAATACTTCAGCGGTAACCGTCAATTAAAGTCTGTCTCGGTGCTCGATGATGGTGCTTCGGATTGATCTGTTTTGTTGAGAATCATATTTTTTCATATATTTCCTATGATATAGCGCTGACAACATTCTATGCGAAATGTTTTCCAAAAAAAGTCTAAAAGTTCCTGTTTTTCAAATCATTGTGTTATTGTGAATTTGCTTGCAGACATTTGGGCAAACGCTCAAATCGTCGATTACCGAGTTGAGCATGTTGAGTATGTTTCTACTCACGGGTATTGTATTCTTCTCCACTATTATGTACTATTTGGAAAAGGACGAACCTCACTCAGACTTCTATTCAATACCAGCTGCTTGCTGGTGGTGTGTGTAAGTGTTAGACCTTTTATTTCAACAAATATTTATAATTTATGTGAATGACTGTTCTTGTTTCTGACACCCCGGTCATGTACCAGCTCTCAATATCGCCAAGAGTCGTTTACCAGTGGGAAGAAAGTTCGAAAAGTGACAATATCAGACCGCAAGTTGCA